TTATGCAGTGGATGCCCTTCCAGCCTCAACCCATCACTGGAAAACCCATACACACTCATTCACACACTATGGACAATTCAGCCTGTCCAATTCACCTGTACCGCATGTGTTTGGACTGTGGGGGAAACTGAAGCACCCGGAGGATACTCAGGTGTACCCAGGGAGAACATGCAAACTCCACACAGAAACGCCAACTGACCCAGCCGAGGCTCAAACCAGCGAACTTCTTGCTGTGAGGCGACAGCACTACCTACTGCGCCACTGCGTCGCCCATAATTAAACACACACACTTATTGCACACAGTCACACGTTTGCAGTTCATGTTCCCACTCACACAGTAATGAGCCGCAGAGAGCGCCATCTGCTGGAGGTTTCAGGATAGAAGATTCACTCCTGCATGTTGATATGAGTCATTAATGTTTCATCATTTTCCTCACATCTGCATCTGTTCTGGGGTCAGTGTAGAGAAGTGAGCAGCAGCTGATTAAACATCTGCACTGTTTTTACTGGAAGAGGCATTTAATGGCGCATATTTCCGTTTAATCGACAGGTTTAGATGATTTATTAAGGATTAAAAGATAAAGATGGGCGTCACGGTGGTTTTATGGTTAGCACTGTGGCCTCACAGCAGGAAGGTCGCTGGTTTGAGTCCTGCCTGGGGCAGTTGGCTTTTCTATGTGGAGATTGCGTGCTCATGTTGGCATGGATTTCCTCTGGGTGCTCTGGTTTCAGTCCAAACACATGTGCTATAGGGGAATTGATGAACTAAATTGGCTGTATAGTGCATGAGTGTGAATGAGTGTGTATGGGTGTTTCCCAGTACTGGGTTGCAGCTGGAAGGGCATCTGCTGGACGGTTCATTCCGCTGTGTTAAATTGTTTATTCATTAATGACCATGCTGTTTTACATCTGATTGTTCAATTTCTGTACTTGTATGCTGTTAGGCTACCCAGTAAACCCTAAAGCACTGTTTATTTATTTTTGCTTGTATTTATATATAATATAATATAATATAATATAATATAATATAATATAATATAATATAAAACAATATGATATAATATAATATAATATAATATAATATAATATAAAACAATATAATATAATATAATATAATATAATATAATATAAAATTATATAATATAAAATAATATAATATAATATAATATAATATAAAACAATATAATATAATATAATATAATATAATATAATATAATATAAAACAATACAATATAATATAATATAATATAAAACAATATAATATATAATATAATATAAAATAATATAATAATATAATAATATAATATAATATAATATAATATAATATAATAATATAATATAATATAATATAATATAATATAAAACAATATAATATAATATAATATAATATAAAACAATATAATATATAATATAATA